GCCCTTAATGGCTACATTGCTTATTTTGCCCCACTGCTGAAGAGAACATGAATTGTCTGGGGTTCATGCAGGAACCCACCTCAGCAAGGCCTAGTCGGGGGCTCAAGGCCGCTCTGCTTTGTCTGCTGCCACTGTACTCCACTCAAGAATCCATATCTGTGGAATTATAATTGAGGATAAATATTATCAAGTGCAATCGGAGAGGGTGTTGTGTATTTGTGCTGGGGCCAAGAAGAGAGGTGCTGTGAAACTCAACACCGGCTTGGGTCCTGACCACAGGAGAGCTCAGTTTGAAGCAAAGGAACTATCTTCCTCTATGGGTCGCCACAGGCATCAGGGAATACCGAGGTGAAAGGTCAAGGTAGAAAGTGACGTCATTTCCACAACTAATACTGCATATCACGGGCTACAGCTACACAACTCTGAAGACTGAACAAGCCAATGTTCAAAACAAATATGGAGGCTGTAGATTACTTTCACCCAGTACAACCTTGTTCCTCAGGGTCTTGGCATTGTGACGTTCAGTCTTTTCTTCTAGTCTCTCATCACCAGGTGGAGAAAAACAACCCATAATCCAAGTTCTCTAATCTTGTACAGGATAACTGTCAGCACCTATATACACAGTGGAAGGCTTCCCCAGCTTGTTACAACGGTGGCACCAGTAGTAATCACTCTAATCCTCTGGTAGCCATGGTAAACAAAACCTCTTGCACAGTCATTATCTATTCACAGCCAAAGGCCGTCAGATAACAAAGCACATCAGGGAGAAAGAGAATGAATGAAGGGAGATGCAAGAAAGCTAGAAAGAAAGAAAGATAGAAGAGTGAGAGAAAGCAACTGGGAAAAAAGACAAGGGTACAAAGAGGAGAGGGAGAGAGAGAGAGAGAGAGAGAACAGTATTTAATTGTATTATATAACACTCTTTGCTGTGTGCCAGACAGCAACTGTTTTCTCTCTTTCAAAGGAGAGTTTTCTCTTGTAAGACTTCCAGGCATTTCTCAGCCTTGATGTAAACTGATACTCTGTTATTTGATTTATGTTATGACCCAAACCCCTCCAAGAATGAAAACTCTGCACTGTGAAATTTCTGGAAATCTTACATAATAAGCATTTTGTGACATTTATAACTAAAACCTAGAAGGATAAAGATGGCAAACACTTCAGTCTTTTAAAGAACAGTCATCCGTCACTGGGCAGATGGGCATGGGCACATGTTCGCCAAAGGCCATAAAGGTAAGTGGCTCTAAGCACCGCCTATAAAGTGAAGGTGAAGTAATTCCTACTGCAGTGTCTAAGGTAGCAACAGTAGCAGCAGGACGGTTGCACTCCCATCAGTGGCAGTCGGAGCAGGGACGGACTCCACTCGCTTGTGTGATATACGTGTGATATAAGACAAGTGAAGAATTGTGTCTATCTTCATGACACACTGCCCTTTGCAGGACTATTTGCAGCTGTCCGCTTGGGACAAAGTCACCTTTATAGTATATCTCCATACAACACATGTGTCCAAAGCGATGGCAGGAGCTTCAGCCATGATTCTGCTATAGCTCACTAGCACCTGATAGCAAAAACATGACCACCTGGAACAAGAAGACACTGATATTAGAGCACAGCAGAAACCATTCTGTAACATAAGAGTATTTGTCTCACAGCCTTGGGACAGCACTCACACATTTTTTCACTTACAAACAAAATGCACGGATGAGCAATTCTGGCTTGCATCCATTGCCTTTACTTTTTTCTGCAGTGCCCTTTTTCCCAAAACAAAAGTCACATAACCTGACACATAACCCAGGCTGGCTTTTTGCTTCTTCTCATTATTTGGGAAATGCAAGACATATTTCTGGGCTTCTCAAACACGCTCTCATCTTACCATAACAATCTGATTCAATATGTGGTTTTATTGTTATGGAACGCAAAGGCTGAGCTGTCTGCCTGTAGCAGACAGTTTGGTATTGAAATACAAGCTGTAGTAATGAATCGGGTACAGTTAAGATTTCTCTGCCCAAGGTGAGTCTTGCAGCAGACTCCACCTAGACTGGGGACTGAGTATTGTGCAAAAACAGCCATATTCCATTGAGGATAGTCCATCATTTTGAAGGTAACTGCAATTTATAAAGACTTTTAATTGTTTTATCTGTATTTTATAGCAAACATATGGAGAGGCAACCAAATATTGATTTCTTTTGCATTGTTTTGAATGCACATGAATTTCTGATGCAAGGAAGTCCTTATTAAATGCTCTCTGCACTACTGCTGTCTGTTTTCTGCACTCTGTTTGCATTTACATTTTACAATGGTGTTGCTGGGAAACCTGTTCACATTCATGGCAAAAAATTAACTGACTCCGAAGTCTTGAAATGCTGTGCCTCTCATAATCCCATGTGGTATGTTCCCACTTAACTAGTAATTGTATTTTCTCTTCACGTATTTAATAGAACAACATGGCAGCAGTGCTTTTAATTTCTTCCTTGTGCTTGGAGGACAACCCAAGTGTTGAGTGCACGGAGAAGTGCACACAATTAGCTAATATAATTCACAGATGTGCTCACTGAGGTTTTTCTTTTCTTCTTCTTCTTATTGCACAGCAGGCTGGGCGACCTGAGAGTTTGGACACGGTCTCTGCTCTCACCCCACTGTGACCTACTGGAACATACATTTCAGATGACGTAGTAATTAAAATACACTAATTTGATAATAATGCAATAACAGCAGCACCCTGAAGGGCTAATTTAAAGAAAACATTTTCCCAGACCGCCAGTAAAGCATATGTAATGCCCCATAGAAAATACAGTAGCCTGTTGGTGTGCTTACTAAGGTCTCAAGGGTATTTCAGGGTACTGATTTCATACCACAATCATTAAAATCTTAGCTCCCTTTTGGCTGAGAGCGCCTGACTGGCGACAACGCCTGTGAATGATATTGGATCCCCAAGGTGTAAACTTGATGAATATCTGAGGCTGTTTTGCGAAGGGGTTAAGTCTGAAGCACCTCCACAGATCAAGGCACAGAGACGATTCAAAGCTGAACTTCGTATTATTGTAACTGGATTGCAAAGTTCATGGGGTGTCTCTGAAGGGTAAATAGATACACAGGAGTAACTCAAGACAAGTATAAAGGGGTGAACTGATTAAAATTGCTGACCTAGATTTAACATCGCTGAATTTTTAAATATTATTTTGTGACATCATCTACCTTTCCTTAACAGCTCACGGAAGAGAGAGCAACAGGAAACATGTGGAGAGCATGGGATTACATGCAGCAAGGTTTGCTGGGCATGTTCAAACCAAGCATGTCTTCAACCATCGGACCACCAGGAAAAGCGATTTTGTTTAAAATATTAAAACAAAACCATATAATTTTAAATAGAGGTCAAATTTCACACACAGTCTTTAATACTGATTTTGAGTCCTGATTGCTGGTACATTAAAGACCCAGCAGAGCTACTTATTTGGAGACAAAATGACCCCTAAATCCCCTTCGATCTGACCCTGTAGAAGTGTAATCCATAATTCACCTACAAACTTTGCTGAACACCTCTATGTTATTAAACAAAGCGCTGAGCATTTGGTCAAATTCTCCTGTAGCGGGAAACCAAAATAGGTCATTTCTGCACATCATTATCCAGAATCATAATGAATCATAATAACCGCATGATCCCAACTGTCCATCACCCGTGAATATCATTCAATGTGAGCCACGATGCACAGTAATTTTTTCCCTAATTCCTCCTCATCAAGAGACAAAGACTAGAAACAAACCGAGAGCAGAGAAAATAATTTGGTATCCCCTTTTGTATCCTTCCCTTTGTACCATTGGCCTGGTGGCTTTGAAGCCTACAGAAGTGGAAGTGAAAGTGATTGAACTTGCTCAGTGAGGCTTGTCCTACAGGACTGAGTTGCGCAAATCACGCCTCATGACCCACTTGTGGGTGTGTTTATTAACCCCATGTACAATACTTCCACATTTGAGTTTGCTAATGAGCAGCGAGGACATGGCTAGATAGCGCATGGTCAGCATCACCTTAGCCTGGTGGATTCGGCTGGCTGACAGCTCTGGTTAATTCTGTCAACTCAGAGTCGTATCCATTTCATCATGATTTGTAGATTAGATTATTTATTTGGGTGAAATCTGGAAACCCTACGGTCTATGACTGCTCTTATGGATATCATTTGACGGCAGACTCCCAGAGGGTGGTCGCTGGCATGGTTTACTTTCACAGGCGCATGCTTCCATTTGTCATTGTTATGCTAAACACTGCTTTGGTATAGAGGAAATTGAATTAAGGAGCCGTCCAGCAGCAGTCGTATCCTTATCATTTTCATCAGTCTGATCAGAAACACATTGAGCTCCCACCAACAGAGGGTCAGAAAGTCAGCTAACCTTAGGCAGGCAGCCATTTCCTGAGCAGTCCATCATGGATAGCCTCTGCTGGCAGTGATGTAACATGTATATAAGGAGCAATTTCTTTGTGTCCTACTGTAGTACTGCAGTTGAGAATCTACAGTCTCTCAACTTAAGATGCATAAAGGGAAGAACAACTTTATTAAAGTCTATCCAACTGTGCTTACTAATTTCTTTAGGAGTTCCAATGAAAACGGTCCAGTGATATCTGTGGATTATTCAACCAAGACGGGAGATTTCTGCAGAGACACTGTTCAATTTTTTTTAAATTTTAGTAAAACCAACATTATCTGTATGGGCAGATACCACTCAGGGAAGGGAGAAAATACAGTATGTTTTTAACCTGATTTTGCTAATAACTGATTTTAATCTCAGAAGCAGAATCATCAACAATTCATTACTTGTTGCCAAACTGCTGCCGAGAAAAATATTCTACTGTCACAACACGACCACAGGATTTAGGGTGCAATTTATAGCTGACTGGGGAAATACTCCAGTTTGTGAACAATGGCAGATAAGAGACATTTAAATGCACCAAAATATAATTGTACTATCACAACATATTGACAAATAATTAAACAAATTAGGGCTCATTATTATATGAGGTGAATAAGACACCACATTATTTATTATCTTACAATATTCAAAACACACACAAAAGGTGACATTTTTGTTTTACTGGAAGCAGGACTGATTCTTTTTAAGCACAGGTGAAAAAAGTCAGGAAAGTAAGACAATAACAGAAAGTAGATTGTATTTTGTCAATTTGCTAATCATCATGATAATTGAAAAAAACCCAAAAGGAAATAAACTTTATAGTTTTTTGTTTTTTTAACACAGTGAATTTAAAAGGTGAGAGAAATGGAAGTGCAACAAACATATGACACATCAACGTATCACAAATAAACAATGATAGAAAAAAGGAATGGAAATAACACCTCATACTTGATAAAGTGACTTCGGTCAGCGTGATCTTAAGTCCACTGGAGGTAATCCAAATTTTGTACCTGAGATGTGTCAGAAATATTTTTTTCCTGCCTCTTTGGGACAGACAAATTCACATTACAAGTAAAGTGCACGAAAGAAGACTTTCAACTCAATGGAAATGCTGAACATTTTAAGAAAATGGAAAATATTACAAAACAAAAACAGATAATGGATGCATTGTTCACATCTTCATACAGGTGAGTCGTAAATACTGCACGCTTATTCTGGGGCACTATGAAGCTTAACAAAGTGCTTTTAAAAAGGCACATCTCTGCATAAATATGTGTAAAATACAGATCACACATCCATACCACTTCAATGATTGATTCACCATGATTGTAAACTTCTGTGGGATCTGATTTGAGGAGGAAAAAAAGAAGGCAGACCAAAAAAAAACAACTCTTTCATCTCCTCTTCATTGTCTCTGACGCTCCTGCTTGAAAGCCACAATGAACTTCCAGGCTTCAACATAGTGGGACAGGAGGATCTCCCCTGGGAAAAGCTCCTCCACGTCAAGGGGGATGTCCAGGTCTTTGCCCTCCATGTAAGGCACAAGTGTTTCTTTCAGGCTTTTAAGAGACAAAACATACACTTCATACATCAGATGCACATACATACATATTCTTTTGTCTTTGTTTTACTTAAATAAAATAATAATAATACTAATCATTGGTTCATAGGGATAGAATTTGTACAAAATAACCTTTTTCTTTAATTTAACTTCACGTTTGTTTGAATGCAACAATGGGTTTTAAGTCCTCTTTTTTCTGTCTTTCATTGTGAGTTTCTACAAGATTTCTACACTTCAGAATAGACAGACATAATATTATTATTTTTGACATGATTTCAGTCATTTATACAAGTGTACAAAGTTTTAAAAAAACCACTAATGAAAAAACATTTTCTCTTACCCCCAGTCAGGCCTGAAGGTTTCAGGTGCATTGGGCTTTTTAAGGACCAGCACCAGGAACTCATGCATCTCCAGCAGGAAACTGTCAGCGCTGTTCTTGGAAAAGAAGCCAGTGAGGAGCCTGCGCTCGTCCTCACCCAGGGCCACTTTGTACTTCTCTGAGACTCCCACAAATGGATCCTGAAGAACATAGAGAGTGCATGGAATAGGAATACTGAACTTTTACAGTAGTAAGTATGTATTAAGTCATCTGTAATACTGCTCCTACAAATGATAATAATTTAATTTCCATTTGTTTATCTGTATAGTGGTATTATGTGGTGCCTTACCCTCTTGAGCCGCAGCATATTTTCTGATTTGAGTGAGGCCAGCAGCTGCCACAGAGCCACACAGTGCTTTAGACAACACATGCTTAGGGCCTTTGGGCAAAACAGGGAGAACATTAAGTTTTAACGTATGTCTAGCACATAAAAAAAGACCCACACCATTTAAATCAATTTAAAAGCCAGATAACAAAACAGTGGTTCTTAACACATTTGGAAAAACAACATGTATTTAAGTTTATTCTGTGGAAGCGAGGCAGGACGAGATAACCGCTGTCTTAGATAGGCTGACCTTGAGGATATGCGGAGCCAACTGGTTTTCCATCTGCAGCACCTCCTCCAGGTAGCAGGACAGCTGCATGTGAGGCTCTCCCCCAGTCCTGGCGAGGAAACCGAGGGCCACTTCCAGCGTGGACAAGGCGTCACACACCTCGCTGTAGGAGTGCAGCTCCCCAGCCACGGCAAACAGGGTCAGAGTCTGAAGAGGCTCCTGTTGAGGGCAAGGTGTTTAATATAGTAGTAATAGTAGTAGTAATAGTAGTAAATAGTTAGTGGGCTACTTGTTGTACTTTATATCAGAACTTACTTGTTGGACTTTTGCCTTTACATCCTTCAGGATAATCTCATAGTTGCGCTCATGTCTGTTCACCAGTGTTGGAATGCCCTGTGGAAAAAGGACATGAGATATATGGTATTTTAACAATTTTCCAAACAAACAAGACTCAATTTTTGGCAAAAGCTACAGTGTTTTTTTCTCCATCTGCTCACATTGAGAGTGATGAGAGGTTTGCCCAGTAAGAAGCGGGACACAATCTGGTGTTGGATCTTGGGCAAGTCGTACTCGTGAAGTGTCTCCTGGCCTTTTTCAATGCTGTACTGGGTGTTGGACAGAACCAGAGGCATCAGGTCCCTCTCCAGCTCATACCGAATCACATGCAGGTCAGTCAGATCCGCAGGGCTCACTTTGTAGCTGAGGAAGGGATAAAAAGACAAGTCAGCAAAGAGACAGTGGAGTATATCTTCAAACATGTTTTTTCTATGTTTTCACCACTTTTTGGCTGTGGTTTGGTAATTACAAACTTATTTTTATAGTTTTGACAATATGTCATTAAACCCCATACACAAATGTACAGCAGTATGCATTTGGGGAAGAAGTTCACACACTGTGCTCTTACAACCAAACAAGTGAGAAAAATGTGGCATGAGCGCCCCCACCTGGTCTCCTCTCCAGTGTGTTTATCCACACAGTAGACCAGGTCATTGTGCAGGGCGATGAGGTAGCTAACAAGGGCTGTAGAGCACAGGCCTGGGCCTTGTCGCCGTGGTAGCAGCACCTTAAAGTCACTGTGGAGGTCCAGGTCCTTCTGGCAGAACTCAACCGGGATTTTAATCTCACCTGAATGACAAAACATTTCAATTCAAGTCAAATCATGACAGTGTCAGTGTAACAAAGTGTGTTGTATGCAGTTAGTGTCTGTATTTACCGTTAGTTGCCAAAGACACTCTGAGCTGATTCCAGGTTGTCAGGAAGATTTTGATGTATTTCCCATACCAGACGTTCAGCGAAGCTGCACACATAAAAAAAAAAAAAGATAATTGAATCCAAAGTGTACACACTTAATAAAACATAGTTGTTCACATCAGTGGCTCTCACGTGTGGAAGACATTCTGCTTTTTTAAGAATACTCAATCATTGTCTCCTTCCAGGTTAAAACAACTCATTCCTTGGCAGGAAGGTTTTCAAACTGAATGTTGCCAGCTATGTTACAACGACATTTCCGAGAAAGAGGTAATTAGGAACTGCGTGGAACTTTGTATCTCTTGTGTAAGTGAGTCATACAGTTGAAGTTGAGAACTGCTGGTGCAGACATTTAGTTTCAGTACCTGCTTTCTGACTGCGGAGGAATTCGGCAATGGTGCCACAAGTCAGCTCTGTGACGTTTTGAAACTTTTTGACCAGATCTCTCTGGAGTGTGAGGATGTCAGGAAGGTGCTTCACCAGTCGGAGTTCTGCTTCCTGAAAAACAAAACAAAGTCGTGCGTCAGTGGTTTGTTCAGATAATTGCTTGTTAAATGTTCTTATGAAATGGTAAAGTATGTGGTAATCAGTCTTCCCATTTTTTTCTGACATCATAAATTATATATACAATTTCTGTTTTTTGCTGAACCTTAAATAAACAAAACTTTTTTTGAAAATAAAATAAATAAATAATGTTTATAATAATTTATATCTTAATTATAAAGAGATCTGTCTGTGAATTATCAATAAATAAAAACATCTTAAAAACTTTTCCCCCTGAGCATTGCAGAGGATTTGGAGGACTTTTTTTTTCAGTCCTGAGTTTGGTCTTGTAGTCTTCCTCACAAGCTGCATACAACATTCACTATGAAGGGAGGGCAGCTTGGAAGTTGCCTGAGAGGTCAAATCCAGGGCAAAAAAGCTGCATAATAAGTCTCTACTGCTACAGCTAAAATGCTGTGAGTCTTTGTTTTTAACTAAATGAGAGTCAGAGAAGCATTTTAACATTTTGATCAACTCAGAGCTTCTTCCATCTCATTCTGGCGGTTGTACAGCAAGAGGACACAGTTGACTGCTCTTTTAGTGAATGAATCAAACTGAAACTTACGCTTCTTCATATGTAGCAACACTGCCTGTTTTTAAGGGAAATGCAACATTGTCTACTCTTCAGTTTAGGAGTTACTTCTCCAAACCTGCGTTAAGTAGGACAACATACGACTCTTCTGCAGTCTCGCTTGTTCGGTCACCGTTTTCTTACCTTATGCAGAAATCTCCAGAGCACCGGCAGGGTGTCTTTGCCATCATTCTGCTCTACAATGTGGGTGAGGCTCAGCAGACACACTTTCTCCCTGCAGCTCCACACGGCAGAACCATGGATCAGAGAATTTGGGGGAAGCGAGGCCAAGAAGAGACGAGGATCGCCAAACAAGAGCTTCATGATTGGATTGGCAGAGATGCGAGAGTCAGCCCGGATGAATGTATTCACTTCCTTGAGCTGTCTATCCAAGTGCTGTGGAGATGACAGAAGAAAAGAAGAAAACAATGTGTTATTTGCTGAAATTAGACTATGTGCCTTTTTTGTTCCCTTTTAGAATAAACACATAGAAAAAACATATTTCTACCTTGAATTGAGGTGTGATGATAGCATTGCTAACTTCCATCTCCCATCCATTTCTAGCCTCTTTGGTGGAGAGCCGATTGTCATAAGGAACAGGCCCTGAAAGGAAAGAGCAGCTGTGTTTAATAGTAGAAGGTAATCCAATGGATTTAGTGTTTCATTTTTGGGGAACCAAAAATAAAATTAAAATAAAACAATAAATCAACAAAAATAAACAATAAATCCCATGCACTTCAACATATATTCCTTTTATGAAAAACATCTGAACATTAAGAAAAACAACAACAGTGACCCCTTTTCATATAAATATCTTATTTATTTAATTCACTACTCAATTGACAAACTACTTTAATCCGCTCCCCTTGCTTTACCCTTTAGTACTCCTTTACACACACGCACAACACCACTCTGCCTCTCCAAAATCTCTCTCACACACCACACACACCTACACACACACACACCACACCACAACACAACACACACACCAGCCTTGGCCCTCCCAACCTCTTTCTGTTTCTCTCTCCCTGCATGTTGACTTTCTTCAGCAGTTCGTTTTATAAAGTCGCCGCTCAAGTTTGGGGTTTTTTCACCCACAATTCCATTTTAACAACAGCTGGGAAGCCACGTGTGGAGGAGGCTTGTTGTTATTGGCAAAGCATATCAAATCAATAAAAAAACAACGTGGCACTGAATGATACTGGCACCAGCTGATGTGTTTACTGCTGTTCACGCTTGCTTTACTTGGTCGGTGCTTGTAAAATATCTGTGCCAGGGAGACTCTCAGAGTGTTGCTCTGCAGAGCATGTGTGACAGTCACTAAGACTGTACAGGAGGTGGCTCATCAGGTCTAGAAGAACTGATTCCCTGGTATCTATGGTACCGTTTTAAGAAGTTTGGCATTGACTTGGTACTAAAGTATCAATTCTCGGGACATCCCAACTACAACGATGTACACCATTTTGGTATTCAGAATCCGAAATGGTTTTTTTTGGTATTATTATGTCTGCCCAAATATCGACATAGCACATAATAGTTTTACAGCAGGAAATGTTGCTTACATTGTTGTTGCTGGTGGGGTTCCATGAGGCTGCTGATGAGCAGGTGAACAGTGCTGACTGTGTCATCGGTCCCTTTACCAAGGGAACTTATAAGATGTTTCAAGTCCTTTCGCAGGTGAGCGAGTAGAAATACACCTGTGTCAGGTACTGGAGGCTTGATGATGGCAGAGATAGACTAGAAACACAAATACACTGATTAACAGAGCTGAAATTATTGGGTTTGTTTTTTTGCTCTCACTTACAATGTACAATTGTATGTATTGCTGGGGAAATTATTACAATTAGAACTGTACTCATTATTTTGTCTAAGCTACCTGTAGGTGGCTGCATGCACCAAGCAGCATGGCCATGTGAGTGAGCATGCGTACAACAGTGAAGGGAACAGGGGAAATGCTCTTTGTGTCCAGCATGTCTGGATTGTCCCTGCGATTGGGGTTGCCGAGGATGTGGCCTGTCTGAGTCCGGTCGCCCCTGTTAAACAAGAATTGATGAATAAACACAAATTAAAATAAAATATACAGTCATTAACTTCTTAACTTCCCCAAATTCATTTATAGACCGCTTACTGTAACTGAACAGCTTGAAATCCCTGAACAGGCATGTGGTTGTTTCCTCCGATCAAAACACCACAGTCCAAACAACGACTTGTCTGCATGGGCTGCCCACACTAGAGAAAAGAAATGGGACACAAGATAATTAATTATGAAAAGAATACTACAAAAAATAGACTCATTGCAACTTTATTAGGAGTCAGACTGAACATAACATACCTCTCCAATGGTGCAGGGGTGACCATTTGGACAATCTAAGGGAAGAGTAAGTCAAAGATTACTATACAGGTATTAAGTGTGGCAGTACAGAATCTTTAATGATATTTCAAATATTTCTGTTTCTGACTTACTGTACCACTGCAAAGTTCCCAGAGCTTGTTGAGCTACTGCTAACATATCATCTGCCATGGTAGGTAAGAAGGCAGCCTGTACCAAAAGATAAAAACATTACATTCACTTCAAAATCGAGGAGTTGCCAAAACTGACAGCAGCTGACAATATACATACCTGCATGTTGGCAGGTGCCATTGCCAGGTGCTGTAGGGGAGCCAAGATCCCCTGGTTCCCGCAGAGCAACACAGCAGCCAAGTGAATAGTTAAGTCCACCAACACACACTGGGCACCAGGGGTCCCGGAACGAATCCACAAAGGCCCGATTTGGTTGGTCACCAGAGCCTTGGCGAAGGCCTTCACCTCTGGGTTGGCAAGGAATTTAGAGGTCTCGGTGAAGGCAAGCAGAGCTTCCACCTGCTGTAGGTACGAAAATATATAAAGATATATATATACACTTTACTGACACAGACAGAAAGGTCCAGTAAATAACTACGCCTTCAAGACAATTTGTAATATGACACATTATATAAGAGCAGCTCATTAAGTCTTAATGTAATGTCTACCTCAAGCTTGGGATGGAAGCTAACATTGGCTTCTCTGTAGAGAGTGGTGACTTCTCTGTACAGTGCCAACAGAAGATAAACTGCTGTCCACTGAGGTGAGCATTTGCACCCCTATGAAGAAAAAGCAAAACAGCAACATACCTGTGTAAATAGGCACACAAAAGTCCTGACCTCATGCTGAGTTACTAACAAGAAATAGATGTAACAATACCTCACAAGTCTTGTCCAATCCGTCCACTTTGCCTTCCATAACTACCTTTGCGACAGCATTTCTGATATTCTTGTAGTGCTCCCCACACACAAGATACTGATCTATTGGTGTGGCTTCTTCACTCTGGGTGTAATGAAAATTGAGCCACACAATTTAATTACTACTAGCATTACATTTAGAATATAACATTTGCCTTCATTTGGGCAGTAACACTGAAAATCGTAATGTGGGTAACTGAACCTTTTGCAGAACTTCTTCAGGGAAGAGCCAGCACATTTCTTCCACTTTGAGGAGTTTCAGGACAAACTCCACTCCATGTTGGCTGCAGATCTTACGAATCAAATAGACACGATACCAGTTGTTCCCACTGTGTCTACACAGGTTCACCACACTGGACAGGAAGGCTGTGGTTCCACTTTGATCACTCTTGTGAGCCTCTGGTGTAATTAAGAAACAAAAAGAAGAATACAATTTTGGTAAAATAAACCTGAAACACACTGAAATAAAAACACAAACCAATTACAAATGTCATTACATGTTCCAGTCACTAAAAAGTCTACAGTATGGGAAAACTAATACTGTATTTAATCAAAATGACACACCTGTGGCTCTTAGTTTTTCCACAATGAGGCTAGCAGCCATATCCAGGTCCATACGCACTCTGGCCACCTGCTGCAGGTACTCCACAGTGGCTGTCTCCTTAGACTGCGACTGCAGGTAGTCAGTCAGGAAGGCACTTTCATGTTGCAGACACACCTGCTGGTCTGCAGTAGATCTGAACTGCAACCTTTCAAACATGGAATCCTAGAGAAATTAAAAGGTAAAAAGTGAATACACCCTGTGAAAACAGCTTTGATATTACAATCCACATCTTATTGGCATATTTGCATTTTATTTATCTTAACAAGTTTTGTTTAACAAAGGCTTTGTTTAAAACATTCAATACAGTCTAATTCATGTGTACCTCCAGGCAGTTAATGTACAACAAGTAGAGTTCAGTTTTGTCCGTGACCTCCAAGATGTTGCTCTGCTCAACTGCCACCAGATGCTGCTGCAGGTAGCCTTTAACTTCATCGAAGCTGCAGAAACAGTACAATTTATACAGAAATGATAAAAACAGTCTACATAAATAGGCCTAATGCAATGCGCAACCATAGCACCTCACCTGTACTTCAGCAGGAGTTTGAGCACTACTGATCGAACCACTGGATTTTTATCCACCGAGTCATCAAATGGAGAGAGCACCTTTGTCAGAATTTGTCGATTACCTGGCAAACAAACAAAAAAAGGATAGTCAGAGCTGAGAAAACATCTATAAGAAGAGACATGGCTGTGTACACACATTAGAGGGGCTATGTTCTACCTCCGAGAATGGGGACAGTGTTGGCCTCCACCATGAGAAAGGACAGCAAATGGAGAATGATATCTGAACTTGGGGGAGAGTTGTCCTTGAAGCACACAGTGGACACCAGGTCAATGAAGAAAGCATTGCACTGCTTTCTGAACCGAGCATGTTTGTTGATTAGAATCCTACACAAAATAAGAGACAGAGTTACAATTTCTCTAAGTCTGATTCACACAGCATGATGTTACCTAGAGATTTTGAAGGAAATAATACCAGCAAAGGATAAATTAAAGGATGTTGTCTGTGTGAGTATAAAGGACCAAATCACATCTGTTTTGAGGAAAAATACTAATTAAAATAAGTTCCTGTTTTTAATTCGCAAGTAAATACAAACCTTATGTCATCTGAAGGAAACAAGGGGAAGTCATCTTTAACTGGTTGCATGCAGAGGGGACAGTACATCTGACCAGGGACCAACCACTGTTTGATACAGGCTACACAGTAGATGTGTTCACATGGTAGGCAGAGCGGATCTTGAGGGTCTCCCATACACACTGGGCACAGCCTAAGACCAAACCTGGATAAAATATGAACAACAGGTGAAGACCCAAGGTGGAGGCAAAGTACAGTTGAGGAGAGTGATAAAATGTACAAGATAGAAAACTGAACTTCTACCTGAAGATGTGTTCAACAGCTCCATCTTTGCAGGTTTTGAGCAAAGCAATAACTGCCTCAAATGCCTGATGAGTTTTGAGGTCAGAGTTTTTTTCCAGTACCTTATGAGAGAGCGGATTAAAATACATTTAATTAGGTATGGACAGTTGTGGTTATTGTGGATGTAGTTTTATGGGAATTCATTCAATTAATCTCATGAAGGAAATAATCTCATGAAGTACCAACCTGGCAAAGCCCTCTTGTATGCTCCAAAACCAAAGGTGTCAGCTTCTTCTCTACCTCCTCAATGCCCAACAACATATGCTCCACAAACAGAGAGAGAGAAAATATCCGATTCCATCCAGCTCTAAAGAAAGACAACAAACAAAACACAAACAAATAACCATCTGATACAATACAACTAAAACTCCCACTTTAACCACCTAAATATTTTTTGTTAGGCTTGACTTACTGGACTCTTAAGGCCATCGCCTTACTCCTCTCTCCATAGCGTCTCACACTGTCTTCTGAGCAGGCCAACTCAATGGGAACCTGGAGTTTTTTGACCTGTCTGAGCCAGGCTTGTCTTTGGACATCTGTGTCCAGGACTCTAGGCTCCAGGTATTCCACACATGCAAAGGCTGCATACACATCGAGTACCTTGGAGAGAGGGCAAATATGATCACTACACATCACTGGTTTAAAGTTAGGCACGCACAATAACTGGGGCCAATAATGGGAAATGTATATTATTATGTATTATTCCGATAGTTGATTATAGCAGATAAATTATTGGTCCATTAAATTCATCATTTATTTTAATAGAATAGATGAAATTATATTGTTTTAAAAGCTTAAATAGTCTTAAGATGCTCACCAGTTCGACCCCGTCTCTGGAATGATGATTCTTCAAGAGGTGCTGGGTCACCTGGGGCTCAATGCATATCATTCTGGAGAGGTTCTGAAGTCGGTTCTTGAACTCATGATAAGCAGCATGGACCCATGGAAGAGATGTTGATGTTTCCATGGCATTGAGCTCATTCAATCGCAGCTCGTTGACACAACAATTCAAGGCACTGCACAGGAGCTAGAAAGGCAAATAGTGTGCATTAGTACAATACATACATGCACATGGCATCATACAGATGTAGCATAAAAAATTGAAAACCAACCTGCAGATCTTCCTCACAAGTCACGTTCATTGTCATGCAGATAAAATCCTGAAGGTAGCGGTGAAAAAATTCAGTCTGCATCTCTGGGTCTGCTTTCGCAATGTATCGTCCCAGTGGCGTCTTCCAAAAGAACTCATCAAACTCCCGTTGAGTGTGACCTAACAGACATTTAATGTAAAAGCAAAACGTCACAACAATATCACAGTTCAGTCAGGACCACTTTTGTATGTTAGCTGTGATCAGCTGATGTAGCTGGAAATGAGAGTGGAGCTTGACTTCGTGGCCTGCCTGAACTAACGCTGAGCTTAATTAGTGACGTGCCAATTATGGAGAGCACAGGACATTACCTTCATGTTGACGGGCATGAACCCAGAGTTCCTCCAGGTAGTTCTTGATCCTCCAACTGAAGGGCATGCTACAGCTCATATTCCTGTCTTGAGCAATGTAGTTCTGTACAAGGATTGTTCTTGTGTCAGAGCTGGGAAAAGAGAAAATAAAAATGTTGTGCAAAGTAAAGCACGGTAAAGTTAGTTTTACTAATTTGGTATCCTTTATGCAAACTGCAAAAGTACCATCACTTACTTGTGGTCCAGTGTTAGGTTTGGGATTTCCAGCAGCTTATCATTACTAAAGATATCTAACCACAGCCTCTTGACAGATTCACCACAGCTTCTATCTAGCAGGATGTTCAAGTTTTGGTCACGGTCAATGATTGAAACCAGTTGTGCCAAGAGGGGGACGACCACAGCCTGAACACGCTTCCATAAGGTGTGCCTGTCATGAACCCCCAAAAGTTAACAGTGCTGTTCCAAAAAATAGGAGCATAGAGACAAATGTAGAAATGTATTCTGTAGCTCAAGCACTTACCTGAAGGTGCCTCCTTCTTGCAAGGCATCAATGTTTGAAGCTTCCTTAATGACCCAGTTGCTTTTGATGGATGAAATAGTGCCCTCATGAGTTGCCAGCAATGAGTGAAGATGCCTCTTCACAGTTTGCAGAAATTCGCCTGAAAAGAGTTAGATAACATGATGAGCACTGCAACTGCTGTAACAAAAAGAAAATACTGATATCGCCGTTAATACCTTTTATTTCATCATTGTCATTGAGGAGCGTCAGCAGGATCTCAACTCTCTGAGTACTGCGGCGGCCACTTTCCACCTGGTCCCTCAGCATGCCTACTGCACTCTGCACACAGCTCCGCACAAGTGCTGTAGTGTCCACAGCGTTATCACCACCCTGCAGCAGGAGGACACACTGGTCAAAACTAGTGCCACAAGCAACCCAGAATAAAATTACATGTAATCGTTGTCAGACAACATATGCCCAGTGCTAGAAGAGAAGATTTTCAGTTAAAGTAAAAATTTTATTTGCAGTTTTCCCACAATGGCATATGTTTGAAATATGTTGACTCACGTTTTCCTCTAACTCTGCTTCCTCCTGCTCATTCTCAGTGTACATATCATCCACCTCCATGGCTGTAGAAAAATAATTTGTAATTTAATGCCACAAAACATTTTAAACATTTTAAAACAGAGGGAATTGTCTTTCGCTATCAATTATAAATCAATTAGTTACCTTCTGTCTGACTCATCTTCGTTTCAAACATTTGACTGATTGTCATGTTTTGCAAGGTTTTGATGTCTGAAACAATGTCTTTTGACCGCCTGAGGTCATCAATGTGAGCTGATCTCCAGGGGCCTGTAAACATCAATGTGTCTTAGATTATTCTTTATTCTTCAAACAATGTGATAATATTTTTAAATAATTACAAGTACATGTAAGTCACAAGTTTTAGTAACCTTACCTCCATGAAAGCCAACATAGGAAGTCCCTCCTTCCATTCTTGGCAGTCTGGTGATAAAGTAGACAAAGACCTTGCTTCCTATGCTCTCCTGAGTTATCTTGTTGATTTCATTTATGGATGAATACCTGAAAATGAACAGTAAAACTCAGTATGGCAAAATAACACCATGGTTTATACCCAACAGAGAGAAAATGTTGGACCTACTTTGCAGATGCAATGAGATTGGCACTATGAGAGGCTTCATCAAAATCACTCTGAATGATGAGAATCTTGTTGCAGGGTCCAATGTTACTGCTTCGATTTTCAGCAGTGAGAAAGTTCCTGCAAGGAAACATATCTTTAGACTCATACCTCAAGATCATAGGAGTTAAGTATATTATTGCCAATAATTCTTCAGCACTTTCCTTAACATCCATCATTACATACATACTATAACAATACAACAATCACATTAAAGTATATATATAAGTAAGAGAATAACTGACCTTGTACATGACAAAGTTTCTGTCCATGTCTCGTTTGTATAGATTTCTTTACAACTAATCATAACAGTACATACTAGAACAGCAACTATTTTCATAGTTCTGTTTATTGCAGTTTACTTTGTGAGGATACCAACCTATTTCACGTTAATGGACCATAACTGTGAACAAGTGTAAAATGATTTGACGTTCCCCAATGTAATCAACACACCTGATTTTCTTCAGGAAGGAGTGCTCTGTGTCAAACTGCTGCAGTGAGAGAAGCTGAACACTATGCAACATTTGCTCCAGTGGTTCCAAGTCAGATGCTGTCAGAAGTCTGGAGAATGTTGTCACCTATGGATTCAAATTATAATTACTGAGGTCTTATAAAGGACTTACAACTTCACAAAATACAGTACTGAAACTGGTATTGTATGACAACTTTCCAGTTACCTCTGTGAAGGAGGAGTAGCAATGGACTTCCTGCCTTGTCTGAGCAAGAATGAAGTCAGCTAAACAGGTGCTATTCTGCCCTTCAAAGTAGACCCTGGCCAGATGTTCACTTTCCACTTTGGGAAGACCTGTGCAGTCCAACCGCACCACTGAGTCTGGTGTAGCACACTTGAGCAGTATGAGTTTAGCCTCATCCAGTAGTCTCCTCTCAGGATCGGAGTTTCCCAAACTGTCCTTCTGCTTCTCTATTACTTGAAGTACTACAGAAGCACATGTGTCTGAGTGGTAACCAATGAAGACGTCTGGTGGTTTGTACTTGTAAGTCTGAGCTACGGCTGTGTTTTGACTGCTGAGAGACACAAAAAGTCTAACCCATTTCTCCAATTCTGTCACCATCCTCTTCTGTTCAGTTTTAAGGACAGTGTGGATGTCCAGGTAGTGTTTCTCCAGCCTGTTGATGAGAGGTATTGGGAACTGTTTGTAGACCACTTCTCTTTCCTCAATGACAATTAGCCGGAAGTCTTTGTGCACCCTGCATTTTACACGGTGGGTTCCCAGTCCAAGGTCCACATATTTCTGTCCTCCCAAGCAGACATAGTATTGGTTGAGGGCATCGTAGAGACTTTCATAGAGGTTCTGCAAGTTCAGGAGCACAACTGTCTGACCTGTCTCCATGCAGATCTTTACTCTATTGATGTTGCGGCAGATTTGGGTATACTCTTGGTCTTTTGGGAAACTGGATCCAAAGATTATTTCTGGCTGACCACTTTCTGAAAAGAAAGTTTGCTGCAGGATCTGTAGGGCTGCATAGTTTTTTGTTAGCACCAGCAAGTACCGGCATTCTTCTTCCTGTCCAACTGCCTGAATGTTTTCTCTCACAAACTCAATGGCACTGATGTTCTCTAGATTGGGTGCAATATGCAGTCTTTGAGTAAAGACAGTAACTGCATCCACATCATCCCTGCCACTGAAGTTTCTCAACACCGCTTTCACAGTTTCCTCTGCAGTGGGTTTCCGTTGAGAAGCTTTGGCCACAGCAAAAATCATCTTAATTAAGCTGTAATAGTCACGTAGGCCAAAAAATCCTTTGCCTCGTTTGTGGCAGATGTTCAAGTAGGCTCTTGCAAATGGTTGAAAGAAATCCCTGACCTTCTCCAAGACCATTGCATCCGATCTGCATATGCCTTTAGCACTCTCGATGAGTTCCCTCTCGTCAGGGTCACCACGGGAGACAAAAATGCCTCTGTTCATCTTTGCAGGGTCTAAAGCCCAGTTGGAGATGCCAATGAATCCAACTTTTTTGTGTGGTAGTGGCTCATCATCAATGCATCCCTCCTCTAGCAATGGATGAAGGGTTTTCAGTGGCATCTTTGGAGAGTCCTCAGCCAGCCCAATCTCATCAAGAACCACAACTGAAATGTACTCATCCAGATTCTTTCCTTCCTGAAAGCGTCCGCATTGCTTAAATGTATTAATGATGCCTTCTGGTGTTGAGTGAGGGCTACACTGGAAGGACACCAAATGGACCTGTTTCAGCATTTTGTAGAGGTCAGAATGAGCAGCTTGGCCTTGCATTGCATCTGCCACCAGAGTTTTAGACAGAGATTTTGAACTTCCAGGTTTTCCAACTAAGAACAGAGGGATTCTTAGCTCAATGCAGAGAACCATCATGAAGACATTCTCTTTGAGGGCACTGTTTCTTGCAATAGTGTCCCCCATTGGCACACCGCTCAAAAGTAAATCCTGCATGAGTGAGATTTCCTGTAGTACCTTTACTGGGCTGTATGCTGGTGGTAGGCTTTTGCTGACTTTCTGTCTGTATTTATCCTTATATTCTAGGCAGGCATGGTAGCACACTCCTATGGCCATGACTAGAGACCAGAGCACAGGGTCTCTGACCTCAGGCTGTCTCGGGTGCCTTTCATTCTTCTCAGCATTTTGATTACTCTCATATTCTTCAAGCTCTGCAAACAACATGACATGATTGTCATAGAACCAAACAAAAGATTGCATGCAGCGTTCTACATCTCTCAGGCTGACAAAGCTGCATTCATCCTTTCTTGTCCGCATATACTTCTGTGACGCTGAAAGTACATCAGTGATGCACTTGATGTAACTTTGAGGGATTATTTTGTTTTCAACCACTCTTTGCACAATCTGCTGAATGTATATTTTCTCTGTGTGATCATTTAACTGTCCAAAGTCCCACACCAGAGGAATCATGCTTGGTGGCAATGCTTGAACTCTATAGACCAACTGGCGGAGAGGAATGGACCCAAGCTTTTCATCTGTCTCCTCAGCTCGAACTCTGTACCCAAGGCCAGCAGATTCTAACCTCTGAATCATCTCATCTGTGTGCTTTCGGTAAGGGTTGCATGCTGCAATAATCTTCAACCCACAGCCAGGTGTCAAACTTGCCCCCCTGACTGTCTTGTCACAGAGGACCTCCTTAATACTGCTGATGGCCTCGGTAGTGTTGGCCTCATCAAAGAAGAGAACAGAGTCAAATCCATAGTCTTGCTTGTTGATGGAAGCAATGTCTTCAGCTTCTCTGACTTTGGAGTAAATCATCTCCGATGTTGTCCCTCCATGAACCTTGACCAGTTTCATGTTCTCAGTGGCCACTCCACTCCTTCGCAACTCACAAAGGAATTTGATGAGCCTCGTCTTACCACACCCCGTCTCTCCCATGATAATGACAGGGATGCCACACCTGAACCGCATATGGATTGCCAGCATCTTCAGTATGTTGTCAGTTGTAAGCTCATAAGTTTCATCAGGGTCAAGAGGCCACTGGATTCCAAGAACATTGCAGATTCGTTCTATTTTCTCCCCTCTTGGAAGGCTATCAAAGTCGATGTTGAAAGGGACTCTCTGTAGCTTCAGGCCTTCATACAATGCCCTTGTCATGACATTCTTTTTTATCACCCTGCCAGAGGTGGGCTCAATTGCATCAACAGAGTTGTGCTCATTGGGTTGAAGATGGAAACCAATGAAGGTCATGGACACATGGTCATCATTAAAGAAGATGTATGGATGTGGTTCTGTTTCCCATCTCTTTCTGATCAGAAAAGGAGCCAAGTCTTCATCACGGACACCAGTCAGGTCCATCTGCAATCTTCCAGGGCTCTGGTCAGAGATGCTGAGTGATGGAGTGGCAAAGTCCTTTGCCATCAGGATCATGAAGTCCACCACAAAGGTTTTGAATCCAGTTAGCGTGTCTCCAGTGAAAGTAGCATCACAAAAAACAGATGTCTCACAGTCTTGCAGCTGAAGGTTAAGGAACCATGCAAAATTTCTCAGTTCTGCCCAGGATGGGTCCACAATTCCACAATACATGAGAAGCATCTGAAGACATTCCACGTGGGACCCTTCAACACCCTGATATGTGAACACATCAAGATCACTGTGGTTATAAAACCGTGTGAGATACTGGTATGGCCGCTGAAAGGCTGCATTCTTGAATTCTTCATCATCCATCAATGGGTCATCACTGCTCACAATGGTCGGATCTTCCTGCTTCTTTATCTCTAGCATTAGCACTTCTTTGGGTGGTCGGCAGAAAATATTTGGAAACACATCTGTGAATGTATTGTTCACAGTCTGATCCTATGCAGACAAAGATGAAAACACAACATATGGTAAGCAGTGGTTTAAAATCCGATGACAAGTGATAAGTGTAACTTGTAAAAACTCTTACCTGCCGTGAAGCATTTCTGGTTGGCTCTAAAATCTCTATTAGATACAGCTGCTTGTCACTGCACTTCCACATATTCCCTTCAGAGTCCATCAAATAGCGCAGAATCAGCAATTTGAAAAGAAACTCTTGGAGACCTTTCTGCACCTTTTAATCAAATCAAATAAAACACAGTCCATTAACACCATATGTAATCTGTTGAGACAGGTCCTATTAATAAGGCTATATTGCACTAAGCTAAGCATTAGCTTGAGACTTATTATTACCGATGATGTGATATCAAAATGGAACATCATGAGGTCTTTCCTCTTGGGAATGTTCAACAGAGATTGAAGGATGACATTCTCATCAACATTAGGTTCAATCAAGCGAATGCATTTCATCATTGATGACTTTTTTGTTGAATGCTTCAGCTTTTCATATAGCCTCTTGATGTAGAGAGATTTACCTGCGATTCAAAAAAAATAAAAACAAAATGTCATTATGGCAGGTATAAATATTCTTAGGAGTGAAATATTCACCATCAGTGAAATGTATTAATTTGAAATAGCTGAGTACTATAAATAAATAAATATACACACCAACACCAGCCCTTTTGGATGAGACAACACCAACACACAGTCGGTCTTTGAATACAGCTGCAGCACTGCATTGATCTGCTGGGACAACAAAGTGGTTGTGGAGATACCACTGGATTCTCGCCAATGACTCCAGAGGAATCATGTGCAATCTGTACTGGCTGAAGGCTGAAGGAAGGTAGGCATGTTCTCTTTCTGAGCTGCAGATGACAACTAGTCTGTAGTCTTTTCTGCTCTGCATTTTCATTCGCTGAAAAAAGTTCTCAACTTTAGAGCTCACATCATAAGTGAGCAGATCTCCATACAGTAGAGAGTATATCTTCTGTCCCCTGTAGCCTGTGCTGAGACAGCGTCTGAGGAATAGCTCCACCTGTTCGTATGGTGTTGAGGAGTTGCACAGGAGGACCTCATCATAGGTGGGAAGTGTCTCGTTTTCGCTACTCATGTAAATGGAGATGCAACACGTCAAGACATCATCGTGCGGGCAAACAATGAGATTTGGATTTCCGGTGACCAGGCCTTTAGGCAGCTGCCTACTTATGTGACTCCCCATGTTATCATCAGAAATGTCTTCTTCACTTTCATCTTCTTCACTCTCATCTCGTTTGTTGGCCAGTATTTCCAACAGTCTTCCAAGATTTTTTATATCAAGAATTTGCGGAAGAAAATTCTTCATGTCTTTCATATAAGCATTCCATATCAGATAAAATTTTTGAGAGCCATTTGCTTGTTCCACAAGACTTGGCAAAGCCAATTCACTGGTGGAGTCTAGGTCTCCTTGCGCACCTCTTGGCACTACAACAAAAGTCTGGAATTCAATATCCTCATTTTGCTCTTCTGGTTTGGTGAGGATTTCATACTGGAGTTCATGCCTGACCTGCCTCAAGTCTGAAGCTGTGCAATTTGGCTTGATGAAGGAGAGCATCATGAGAACTTGCTCCTCCACATTGGTCACATTTTGCTGAGTCAGCTTGCTGCATAGGTAGACAATTTGTTCAGCTGTGTAGTAGTTCAGATAGTAATGTTGGGATCTCTGTTTGTCCACAAAATCCATCCAATAGTCCAGGCATTTCTCCATTTTCCTGCAAAATTCAGGAAGCTGTTCCTCTATGCTGCCCTCCACAATGACAACACTGACAACACTGCCCAGGTTGAAGTCCATCATAATGCTGGGTTCCTCACTGCATAAGCAGCAGTTGATTTGAGCTTCCCAGTGTCTGAACAGGGGATTCCCAGCACTGTAGAGGGCAATGAATGCCTCAGCTAGTCTCTGAACACTGGCAAAAACCTGAAAAATAAATACAAACCTACAGTCACATGCAACTGTTTATCTTTTTAAGACTGTTTGCAAATAGTATCTAAAACACTTGTGATTATTTAAAGAACATTGCATAACCTCTTAGCTAGAGATGGGGATCAAGACCCAGTTCTAAATTTCTTGAAACCCCAAAATCCATTAGGTTTGATCTTATTGATACTGCTATCAAGATTAGCAGGTCATATGTATTGATAGTGGTATTGATAAAGACTTGGATCGTTAAGCAGTCTCAAAAGTATCAATATCGATAAAAAATAAACTATCCCCATCCCTACTCTTAGTTAAAATTTGATACTTGAAAAATACTTTCTTTCCATACTTTATTATTTCATTTATTTTTGTATTCTATGTAATATTTTAAATCTTGTTATCACAACCATCAGTATGCACTTTCACAAATAGAAATCACTGAACAAAAATGTATGATGATTATGATTATAAATAATAAGAGAAATCAAAATGACCTTTGTTTATTAAATAAAAGGCAAATATTTCAATATACCTCTGCAAAGTGATCAACTTCACTCTGGCCTTGATCCCCTTTCCCAGACATAAGCATGAGTTTGTTCTGCAGCTCCCGCAGGTCCTCGAGGGAATAGCAGCGCATCTCCCGACCCTCATCATTCTCCTCTGGAATCTGCAGCTTCAGGACTGTGTCAAGACTCAACTGGATTGAAAAACACAAGAACACTTTTATATATAATTTTGTAGAAACTTTGCTCTTGGTGGTGACTTCTGTGCTACATGGAAATAGGGATGCTAGCATCTTTGATTTTATTATTTACCTTTTTTACATTTTGTGCACTGATCTGGTAGATACCCTTGCTGTTGATGGCCGATGCTAAAGAGAGAGATGACAGCTCCACTGACCCATGACTGTCCTTCACAGTCTTCAGCCATTCCAAATGGCGTGCACTGTCCCGCTACAAAAGAAGATAACATTCTTAACTTTGCTGTTTACAAGTACACCCAACTGGTTACTGATGAAGTACCTGCCTCTAAATGATTTAATGTCTATCAACATTCACAACTGCCTGTGTAGTTACAGTGGCATCAATAAATAGTAGCATTAACACTCTCATTGTTGGGTAAAGGATCAGACCAAAAGGTGGAATTGCAATACTTCATCATAATGACGTTTTTCAGTGTTTTTTTTAGTGGTATTAGCAAGTCCTCCTCTTACCAGTTTCTTTGGTAGGTTGCTGTCATTCTCCAAAGCTCTCCAGAGCTTTCTGAGCACTTCTTTGAAGCCATGAAAATCTGAGTCTGGTTTGAGCTCATAAAGAATTGAAGAGTACCCGAGGACAGCATCATGGAAGCAAGCGACACGATCTACATCCATGTCGTTCTCGCCCGCAGAGATAGAAGCCAGGTCAACAAACACCTTCAGCTCATTGATATCTGAAAATAAATAACATATTTAATTTAGTATTAGATTTCTGATTGAATATAAATTGAAAATTTATAATTAATATATTATATGAATATGTATTATTATAAAATATACAATACCCTCTTACCTTTCAAGTGCATCTTTTAACCACTTTACAAAGTTTCCTCTGAGGCCCAGCTCCTGCATGACCCACAGTCCTGGGGGCTCAGTTGATGTCGCACGGCAGGCCTTCTTTGCTGGGCATCAAAGTCATTATGAAATCCGATTCAGCTTGCTCTCTCTGAAAGTCTGCATTTTTTCTGAAGGAGGAGAGAGCCATAAGTTAAGCTACTTTGCCAAATACTTCCTGGAGGAACGCAGGAGACACTTTATATCTATTGTTTAATGTTGCATTCTCTGTAACACATCTTTAATAACAGTAATATGGCAGAAATGGGGTTTAAAAGGCCTGATTTCTTATAATGTGTAATTATTTTTTTGAATGGCAACAAAACATTCTGCCTCGTTAACAACTGTTTTGAGTGTCTCCAGAAGCCCCTGAAGTCCCCTTTGAAGTCGAAGCGTCTCTTTGACGCGTCATGATAATGTTGAGGCTGAAACACGCTAGATGAAGGGTTCATGGTAACTGCCTCGATCTGGTGAACCCTTGTGTGGATCCACTGTTTGTCAGTCGATTTATCCAACTCCTGGCACATGATGTCCAGGTCGGTGCGCTAGCTTTCGTACTTGCCCCTTGCTAGGCGCTGAAAGAGCTGGTTTACCTCCTCAAGCATTTATTACTGCCATTCTTCAGACCATGTGTAGATATTTTGTAATGCAGGCAAAAGCAGGCTTGAAAATGTTATCATGTATCATTTTCTGGTGTTGCCAAATAATGTCCTACTACTTCATGTTTGATCAGGAGTCATTAATTCCTTGCCAATTTGCTCAGTGGCCAGCGCGTTTGGCTTGTGGCTTCTCCGCAGCACTACTTTGAATATTGTATACTGTTCTCTGAAGGGTGTACAGGACGCTAGCCATGTCTCTGATTTTCTTCGTCCCAGATTGAAGTAGTGAACAACGGCCAAGCCATTGAGGCGAGGACATTGTGGTCATAACTGATGAACGCGTCCATGAAGATTATTCAAGGAAGCTTGACTGCCATTGTTGATCTGGCTGCCTTTCTTCCATGTCGGCAACATCAACACTATCATGGGAAATGAAATTAATGTATGTTCAATTTGCAGCTACTGC